TCATTTATAACTTTTCATTTAGACAGAAAAGTTGAAAAGGGGAAAAAAAGAGGTTTTTATGAAACAAGCTTTTAGTTAAAAGAATCAATGAACTAAAAGTAAAATAATAATAATAAGTATAAATAATTTATCATTTATTTTAATAGAAACGAGAGATTAAATAATTATCTTTGCAAAGTACATCTCAGCTTTTATATCACGAATTTTATATCACGGACTGTTTATTCTGCAAAATGGATGTACGCTCTAAGCTTCAAGTATCTAACTGCATCAGCATTTCTACGCATCTACATTTTAGTGTTCTTTTATCAATGCTTCCAAAATTGTGCTAATATTACATATATAAAGAAAATGGAAGGCGCTAGCCGTTTGTAGATTTTGACCACTACTAAGGCCGGAAAAGTTGATTTTTTATTATGGAGGCACCTAATAGGGGAGCCACCGTCACCTTCTATAAAGGGACAGGCAAATTACATCCATGCCTTTTCCAAGATACGAACTCGGGCCCTCTGGTACGACAGTCAGAGTCACTAACCACTTTCTCATATGGTCGGCACTTTTCATGATATTAAATTGCAAGTAATTTTTTTAAGAGAATTACTTAATCTCTCGTTCCCATTAAATTATATGAGGAATTATTTCTCTTCTTTAAATTCATTAATTATTTTAGGAATTTTAAATAAAAGCTTATTCAATGTTTTAAATTTATTTATTCTTAGTTAATTTTTCCCACTCAATAACTAGAATATATTTAAGATTGTTCATTCTGTTCATATTATTTGACATTTGTTTCGGACAGAATAATATCATTGCGAAAATAAGGCAGCTTCCCCCCTCTCCACATACATACTGCTTGACGATAATATTTACAACAGCTTATTTTAGATATATGATTTCATGTTCCGCATTATGAATTTCTTGGAATATAGTAGAATTTCTGTACTTAGTTTAAAACGGTTTCTGAAGTTTTCGCACAACAATTTTTATATATACTGCTCGATATTGAAAATGCAACACCAAGAAGGAGTGGTCAGAAATTTATGCAAATTTTAGACTAGATGCACGTCACTGAGTTATGCGAATGATGTGAAATGTGCAGCTCTCCTACGCACGTGAAGTAAGATATAAGAGAAGGAACGTGCAGAATGGGCAATATTCGTGTCGTTATTTTTGCCAGACGAATTATCGAAGAAAGTTGGTTTTTGTTCTGGAGGATACGTGAATAAGAGAGAATGCCAGGCCGCCGTCAACGAAAGCACTTCCAGCAAATAGACGATTTTAGAGGGGTATGGTGATCGGACTGAGAAGGGCGGGTTGGTACTTACGTCAAATTGCAGCTGATATTCACATGGATGCGAGCACGGTGCATCGGCTATGGCGAACATGGTTGGAACAAGGGGTGCAGCTGCAGCCAGAGTGACGTCAGCACGTGTGGATCGATGTATCTTTCGACGAGCTGTGGCGGTCCCGCAAGTCACATGTAACGCGATTCTGCAGCATGTACAAGATACCGTGGATATTCCCGTGTCGACCAGAACCATTTCCCGTCGATTTGTTGAACGTGGCCTGCATTCAAGGCGTCCGTTAAGAAGACTGCCATTGACCCCACAGCATAGACGCCAACGTTTAGAATGGTGCCGGACTGGAGCGATGTGGATGACAGAATGGCGAAACGTCGTGTTCTCGGATGAGTCACGCTTCTGTTTTTCCAGTGACAGTCGCCGCATACTACGTGTGTTGCGTCGACGTGGAGACAGATCTAATCCGGCAGTAACTGTGGAACGCCCCTACGTGCGACAACATGGCATAATGGTTTGGAGCGCTATTTCCCACGATTCTAGGTCACCTCTAGTTCGTATTCAAGGCACTATGACGGCCCAACGATACTTGAATAATGTACTGCGGCCGATGGCAATCCCCTACCTTCAGGTGCAGCCTAATGCAATTTTTCAGCAGGATAACGCCCGACCACACAGTGCTTGCATCTTTCAACATGCTCTGCAAGGTATGCAGATGCTTTTCTGGCCACCGTACTCTCCTGACCTGTCACCAATCGAACATGTGTGGGATGTGATTGGACGCCATTTGCAGACTCTCCCTGCCTCGTTCAGAAGACGAACTGTGGCAAATGGTTGAAAAGGAATGCAGAGCCATCCCTCAGGACACCTCCTGCACTCTTATTAACTCAATGCCTAGACGTGTTTCTTCGAGCATCTCTGTCCGCGGTGGTCCTACATCCTACTGAGCCGACGCCGTTCTCGCTCTGTATTCTGACTATCATTTTGGAATAAAGATCACTTATTGCTGCTTGCTGTCTCTATCTTTTTTCCAAATTTCATAACTTTCTGAGCACTCCTTCTTGGTGTTGCATTTTCAATGTCGAGCAGTGTATTTAATTGCATATTAAATTGATATTTTTCCAGGTACCACGAGGATCATCTTTGATTTCTCGTTTGGAAGTATATAAAGTTAACTTGACGCTCGGTTGGAAATTAGAAACATTCAATACAGTTTAAAATATCGTTATTTTTCGCGTAACATTACGTCATGTTAGGCAGGTATAGCATGGAATAACTACAGTGGAGGAAAAACGTATTTGAACAGGAAAACATTTATGCAATAATTTTATTTCAAATGGTGTGAAATGAATTAAATTCTTACATAATAGCTAGTTCACATAACTTATGTAATAAATAAAAAATGCGGTGTTTGCTGTCACCCGTAACATACAGATATCAAGATAGGCAAATATTAAAAGGAAAAATATATTTGAACTACATGATTATAAGTTGAAATTTAATGAAACTAATACTAAAAATAAAATTTAATATTTCTTAAAATGTCCACTGATATCCATGACAGCCTGTAGGCTTCTTGGTATTGATTCTACTAACGTTTTGGTTAGATCTGAGGATATATTTCCCCATGTTTCCAAAAATACTTTTGAATTCATTTTTATTTGAAAATTTCAAGCTTCTTTATCCAAAACAATACCACAAATTCTCATTCGGATTTAAATCAGGTGATTGGGGTGGAATGTTCAGTCCTTGGGGAACTTTATATGAGAGGAATTATTTTGCAACCTTATCTGTATGTTTAGGGTCCTTGTCTTGTTGGAAGCAGAAGTCATCTTTAATACCCAATTTTGTCACGCTTTGAAATAAATTATATCGCAATATCTCTACGTATTTTCTCACATTCAAAATTTCCTCAGTTATTGTCAAATTTAGCTGTTCCATTCCCGCTCATACTACCTCATACTATAACACCCGCACCATCATGCTTTACAAATGGACGTTCATCTTTAGGATTTCGAATCCTACACAGTTTTGTTGCCATCGGATCCAAACAAGAAAAATTTACTTTCATCAGTAGTCTTTTCCCAAAATTCTAAATTTATTTATATATGTTTTTTCATATTAAAGTAATTCCTTACGATTAGCTTTACTATATACGATTTTCACTTGCACTCTGGGCCTTACATATCCACATTCATGTAGGTAACTTACCGCTCGAGGTGAAATGCAAACACCTGGAATGTCATGCATAGTTCATTAGGTATTTCTGCACTGCTAATAAAAGGGTTTTTTTACTGACCCTTCAATCATTCTACTTTCTCTTGTTGTAAGAACTTTTGACCGCCCTGTCCTATTTCTATCTTCGATATTTCCGGTCGATTTATATTTACTTATTACATAATAAACAGTTCACAAATTTAATCTTAAAAGTTTTGCTATTTCACAATAAGGGGACTAACTCTGAAGCCAACTCATTCTGCTTTCCACACATTTTAAAATAATAAATTTCTAATAAAAAAAGGGAAATTGGGACTGATAAGGCTAATAGAACTTCTAAAACAAACTGCATTTCATTTTCGTTTACTTTTAGTAAGTAAAGTTTCAAATTTTTTCAATGGTTTTTCAAATACTCCCCCCTCCCTGAAAATTTATTCAATTTCGTTTTTCAGCGTTGTGACAAGATTACGCGATAGTTAATTTTTATTAATTATATAAGATAGTTGGAACTAGTTATAAGGTAAAAATTTTATTTAATTTACAGCATTTGAAATAAAATTATTACATAAATTTGTGTTGTTCAACTACTTTTTTCCTCCAGTGTATATTGATTCGCAAACTGCCAACCCTCCTGGTTGTTAACAGTCTTGCGTCAGTACAGAATATTCTTAACTAATAAACTGTCAGGTTTCTGAGCTGCTTCTGTTATTTTAGAAGAGGAACTTTAATCTATATTTTTCTTTTTAGATGAGATATTAAAAAAATATATATGAGTATTTTTTATACGATGATTATTGAGCCAATCCCATGATCCCATGAGTATTTCTTAATTACTCTGATATGAAGTTTTCCATTCTTCACTGCTTATTACGAGCCAGAGCATTTATAACCAGGCGATGCAGCAAGGTTACTATTGAACGAAATATAAGATATGTGATTTAACCATCGCTGGAAGTGTTTACTGTGTCATCACATAAACTTTTTAATGTATCTTTCAAATAAAAAATATATATACTTAATAAAACCTGAGCGATTTAAAAGTAATATACCTACTTAATATTATATATAACTATTTTATATCTTTAATAATTTTTTCTAACTGATGGAATTTATAACACATGGCATTTATGTATTTTACAGCATAGCTAACAGAATACAAATAAATGCGCCATTATTGTAACAATAAAATATTCTGTAATAACACATATTATTCATCCAGGGGCAGAATAACCGTCTGCGTGCCTCTTACCACATGTTTTTGGTTAATAAAAGTCAGTTTTATGTGATCGTCGAATGCGACTCCGGTTAGCTCTTGCTTTCGTATGGTGACAACTAATATATCATAGTACATGCAGTCTGTGTCGTAGAACGCATGCGTATTAAAATAACCATGACATATTATTCATTAGAATTAACTACCTGGTAATTGTAATGAATTTTCTTGTTCACCGTGACCGTGCTCACAAAGCATCGAAAACGCCTCACCTGATGGGGTGGTGAACTTCTGCTGATGGCTCGGGCTGTGCGGGGACTGGGGCTTAGAGCTGCTGACTACAAATAACGGCGTTTCCATGGTGATATCCGTGACTACATCTCCAGATTGGAGCTCCAATGATGGCACTGGACTATCTGATCTCTTTCTCCTGCGTCCGTATGAGGTATGAACCTCGTTGGAACCGTCCTCTTCGCACTTAACCTGAAAAGAAAAATCCTTTTTATTATTTTATCGAATAATGGCGGAATTATCGCAATATAGCATATTTATCAAAAGGTGCATAAACAAAGCTTCGTTACTTGGCAACAGGACTTCGATGTGCTTTCGAACTTGATATCAAGCATACGTCTGAAGATTTCGAAATTTTCTATTTTTCTCACAGGTTAATTATAAGGTAGAGAAAGGCTGATTCATTACAATGAAATATGTGATGTCATTTCGGCTTCATTTACAACAATACCATTAACTTCGCAGCAGATTTTGTCCTTTTTAAGTAAGAAACATATATACTTATAGTTTTAAAGGTAGACCTATACTGGCATTAATTCTCCTCATAAGGTAAAATAAATTAATATAAGAATTCATGACTTTTAAGGCATATTGAATATTTTAAACTTAACATATCCAAGCCAAACAAGTTCAAAATTCTCACTGAACAAAAGTAAGTAATCCATTTTAGCCCCTCTCTCCCCAAGAAAACGAATTGTTTTATTGGTAATGTTAAGCAGTAACTGTACTTCTCACCTCTCGAATGGTCAAAAGAAACAACTGCAATGTATATTAAAGTATTTTTAAAGAATGTGAAAAGAAAGTTACATTAAATATTCTCCACCAATACCTTTTACCATCGACACATAATAATCACCTAGTAACATTATAATGGTAACAAATTTAATGACGTTAAAATGCCATTTGGCCAGTAACGTTAAGCAGTAATTCTAGCTAATAACATTATCATGGTCACAGAAATAGTGAAAAATAAGCTATTTAAAATGTTTCTTGCGAAATGTGAAAATTCTATTGAATGTTTTGTAATTCGAAAGCAACTAAATGCGTAGCCGTATAACGTTTAAAGGACCGCGCACTTGATGGTATTGTATAGTAGTCACATACGCATTTCACACGTGTATTCTAGTAGAGGCAAGAAGAAAATGTTATTGGGTATCTTTTCCTGGTAAAGTCAGACTACACTGAGTGTTCAAAATATTATATATACCCCTTCATAAAGCACTGGTCCATCTTTAGCTTTGATCCCAGACGATATTTCTCCCGACCATGGACCCAACTAGGTGCTGATATTTTTTCTTCCGAATATTAGTCTATGCTTATATAATACTTATTAATTTCATTTAATAAGTATTATATAAGCCTATGCTTATATAAGTATTATATAAGCATAGGCTTATATAATACTTATAAACTGAAATTATGTTATGAACTGTTTATATAATACTTAGTAATTTTCTTCATATTGTAGGGTGGCGTTTCTAAGCTCTGAAGACCTTTCCGCTTCCTTACAAAACCTGAAGAAGATTGAGGAGAGAAGACTGAGCTGACAAGGGAAGCAAATGAACTCCAAATAATTTTCTGGAACTCAATTCGAAATAAGTCGCTCAAGACGAACTGTCTTATTGAAAATTACCATTTACATGAGAGAGCATACGTTTATGAACTAGTATACATGATTGGCATTGATACAGAGCTAAATGTGTGGCGCTGAAGTTAGGGTAAGCTATTAATGAGAAATCACATGAAGCTATCTGCATAAGGGGATGTTTTCGTGGAGGACTTTCTAAGAAAAACTGGCTCAAATCACGCTACGGAAACCCGAAAAAAAATGATACAGTCAGCTCGTTCGTCGGTTATAACCTGGGCCGAATTCTTAATATTCAGCAATCTTACCCTCTTGGCAATAATAAGGCAGCGTGGAACTGAAAGCTGTCTTCACACATATCAACGAAACTACTATATTAGAAGAAAATAGTCCCCAGACTATAATCTTTTGGCCATCCAGTTGAACAGCTTTTACTAAGCAAGAGAAATTCATAAATCCGTTATTTTTTCTCCATATTCAAATGATATTATTAAACAAAACACGATTACAGATAACATAAGCATCCTTGAAGACTTCGGCTGTTAAAATGCGTTCGCGTTCTGCGTTCGGATATGTTTTCTAAAGCTCTCACATTTATTGAACTGCATGCGGTTGGCTTTCACTGTTTTTCATTCACTAGCATTTTGCGAGCAGAACTGGCTTACTGAATTTTTTCTGGTTATCTGATACTATCCTAACACCTCAGGCACTGTTCCATGAAAATACTCTAGAACATTAGGCGTTTCAGAGACACTGGAATTGTCTCTAATCCTTCTTCAACTTTTCAAAAATTTGCCTTTATTTCCTTTTCCTTCACATTTCTGTCCATGGACGGCATCAAGGGATTTGTTTTCTGTAATTTAGTAAAAACGTCGAAGTTTTTCTTGTTGTTCTCGCGTAGGCACAACTTTCTTAGTCGTCATCTTCATCCCGGAAGGTGAAGAGGAAAGCTGGCTTTCACGTTCAGAGCTTGCAGAATTATTCAAGCTAAGCCAGTTCTTAATGCTTATTCTTAGTCTTTTTATTTATTTAATTATTTATTTATCTTTGCGCGTTCTTTTTTGTTGCACTTTTTATATCTGCTAGCGCTTAGGGCTAGAAGTCCAGAGTAACTGAACTCAGGTTTATTAGATATTCAAACTACTTGTCTTGTTGTATATATTTAAATACTGGTACTTCTGTTAATTTACAAGTAGTAGTGGCTAAGCTTTGTTAAATTTTAGTTGAAATATAATACCTAGTTCTCCATAAATCTCTCAGCTAAGTTTATATCTCTTATCTGTGTTCATAAACCGTTGTCAGATATATTAGTTACCCTCAATTTCTCGTCGAATGAAACATTTCTAGAAATCTTTCCTTCCACCAAATCTGACTGGCGATTGAAAATTACACGAAGACCTCTCAGAAATGCGTTCTATCCATTCTGAGTTCTAGATCTCTAGCAAAGATACCGAAGTGCAGTGCAGATTAAGCATTTTGTAGCTCGGTGAATAATTAGGATATAGGAAAGGAAATTTAACTTAAAAGAAAAAGAATTTCTAATACAGTCGAAACTCGCTATAACGAACCCTGTATATAATGAACGAACTTTTTTGTCCATTTCTTATCCACTTCATAATAAGGTGGGAAGGGCAATTTAATAGTATCTGTTTTATTGGGCCGATTGACGGAATTCAATTTGCGGTTTTCATGCCTTGAAAACGCGACTTTGGATATATATTAGTTTATATATAGCATTGTTCTAACATAACATTATGATGAAAATCAGATTTTTTTCTAAAATGACATACCTATTATTATTATATATTTCGCTCCTACGCCTCAAATTATGCCAAACTGCTAATTTTTGTAAAAATCGCCCCAGAAGTTTTTAAACAATTAGGTCTCAAAATTTTAGTTCTCCAGTGTTTATTCAGTTTGTTATATATTTATTATAATATATATTTTTTATTAAACTTATATCATTCCTTCTTTCAGGGGAAAAATTGAATTATAATGTATAAAATGTTTACCATCATTTTAAAGTAGATGTATCTTTAAACATCCCTGCAAAACATTAAAGATTTTATTCAAAATTTCCCAATTTATACGTGAATTTATATATTGGTACGTTTTGAAATTCGCATATTTGCTTACACGACAGTAATGCCGAATGTGGTTTAGGCAATTTGTAGTAATTTTCAATGAATCGTAACACTCATTTTGAACCTTAAATCTCTAAATAAACTTCTACTGGGAATTATTCATAGTGAAATTCTTCATTTTCACTAATATTAATAATACCTAGTAAATATTTATTAATAATATCGCAAACGTTTTTTTAATTTATAAAGAATATTAATAAAAAATTTTGAAATTTTATTTTCTTTCATAACAGTACACTTTTACCTTCGCCATTTTGTCCTCTGCTAGTTTACTCAACTTCCTTTTATATGCAACAAAATTTATTTTACTGATTTCAAAATTGTGCATCATAATACGCATTCAATACTTCTGAGTATGTTAAACAAGACGTCAAAAATACAAATAAAAAAGCTGTCTTCTATTACAGAAATGTTTAACAGCGGTAGAATTTATCAGTATAGTTTTTTATCTTTTTCTATGCGTAGCAAAGAAAACAAATAAGAATGATTTTGAAAATGTCCAAAAAGCCTTAAAAAGAAACATTTTAGGCACTAAGAAAATTAATTTTTTAGCCCACAGAGCGTTAGCCCAGAAGGGCTATTACTTTCGTTTTGGCATTTTGAGTGGAAAACTTTAAATGTCCGGTTCACATTTCAGATTGTTGCCACCAAATATTATCGCCCTGTATTATATTTAAAGAAATTAAATAATGAAGAATCCGCATAAATGTATGTACGTTTCTCGCATTGTGATAAAACGACGGTGCCTAGAACCATCAGATTTTGAATAACGTACGTTTCCACCCGAATATGGACATCTGGAAGCCCAAATTTGGAATTTGGAATTTGTTTTATTATCTATTTCAGATTTTGTAAAACTTTAACGAAGTTTTGATTAACAAACTCAACGATTTCAAAGCGAGCAATGGCAAAATTGTGAGGGGAGGGGGGAAAATTTTATCTGTGTATCGAAAATTCGAAAGATATGCTCATTTTGAAATTAGTTTGTGATATTGCTGTTGAACTGAATTTTATGATTTAAGTGCGAAGCACATGATATTTAATAAATAAAGGTAACACACAAAACGTTAAAAACGCCCCTTTGGACTTAATTTAAAATCTGAAACCTTTCAGATTTGTTATTTGCTGTTTTGGCAAGTTTATTTATCTTTTCTTTTTATTTATTTAATTATTTTCATTTATTTACTCGCAAGAAATTTAATCTTTTTGTAAGTTATGGTATTTGATTTTTGCGATTTGAAAAATGAAAATTTTGAATTTATTCAGAAACATGGATAATATTGTAACAAACTAAATGCAGGAAAATAAAACTGTGTAAAGCAATGATAAAACCTTAATTGGAAAATTGATTGTATGCACATTATTCTAAATTAAACAGTAATACTCTTTCATCTATATATCTTTACTGAACGGCCCACTGAAAGACGGATTAAACGTGCTTTATCGAATTTTCTCTTTTAATGCACAATGCAATTTTCATTGTGACGAATACTGGTGAAAGTATTCTTTCAAAGGAAATGCTATTCAAATAAATAAAATCAAATTAAGAAAAGCGTTTATTTGAATAACATGGTTAAAGTAAATAATGCCCATGAAAAAGAAGAAATAGTTAAAATAACTATTTGAAGAGATTTAATTCAGCCAAGCAACTGAAATAATTAAAGTGGAATACTAAAAATTAAAACTGTCAAAAAAAACTGTGATTAAAAATTAAAATTTGATATAAAAATGTATGCAAGAAAGAAAAACAGAAAACTCCCCCCCCCCCGTTCGCACAGAATGAAATGGAAACTGAAATAGATCGCCAAAAAACAGAGAAGTTCGGCAAGTGAATTATTCTTGACACAAGTAAAAAAAAAAAAAAAAGAGTACGGCAAAGGTTGATTCCAGAATTACTTATTAAATTTCACACCGAATTTTACAAAATTTAGTTCTTAGACATAATCTGAGTCGTCAGATCGAGACATGAAATAAATTGTCATTTCATTTTAGAAAAAGTCTAATTTTGCGTCCAAATACGTACGTCATAACAGTGCTTATATATATTTTAAGACGTGAACACAAGTTAAATTTCGTCAATCAGCCGAATAGATGGCCGAATAGAATAATGGAACTGGCCTTCCCCCTTTTTTCGAATTTGATGTAAACTGCAGGGGGGGGGGATTTTTCTTTTTTAAATGGGACAATTCTATATCTCCCGTTCTACTGGGCCGATTGATGAAATTCAACTTGTGTTTTTCATGTCTCGAAAGCGCGACTTAGGATTTGTATTAGATTTATGCGTAGCATTCTTTTAATATAGGTATTTTGACACAAAATCAGATTTTTCCTGAAATGACTTGCCAACTTTTTTTCCATATTTCGATTCTACAACTCAAATTATGCCAAACTGACAAATTTATTAAAAATCGCACGAGTAGTCTTTTAAAAATTAGCTCTCAAAATTTTAGCTCCTCAACGTTAATTGAATTTGATGTATATTTATTAATATGCCTTTTTTATTATACTTAATTAATTGATTCCTTCTTCCACAATTCGAAATTTAGGCTTAATCTAAACATAATTCGCACCTTTTTATTATTTATTTAAAAAATTTGTATTTCTTAATATTTTTTATAAATCTTTCGAAAACAGTTTTGTATTATAACCTATAAGATTTTTAACGTCATCTTAAAGTAGATGTGTTTCTAAGCATATCTGCAGAAAATTAGAATTTTTTATTCAAAATTTCCTAAAATATACGTAAATTTACATTTTGACGCGTTTTGAAATTTTGCGTATTTAATATTTGGCACTTAATATATGTGGTTTATGGACTTTTTATTTGAAAAAAAAAGCGATTTAAATTATTTGGAAGAATAAACGATGGACCTTTCTCGTGCATCAATGAAAAATAAGAAAAGTAAGTAGGTTACTATGAATTAAGAATTCCGCCAAGTGAATTATTCTTGGCGCAAACTGAAAACAATCTGCCAAGATAAATTTTTAAATTTTTCCATAAATTTCTCATTTTTTCCAAAAATTACAACATTTAATATCTAAGCATAATTTCAGTCATAGAAACGAAATATGGAAAAAATATTATATGTTATTTCAGAAAAAGTCTGATTTTGAGTCAAAATACCTATGTTAGAATAATGCTATATATAAATCTAATATATATCCTAAGATACGCTTTCGAGATATGAAAAACGCAATTTTAATTTTGTCAATCGGCCCAGTAGAACGGGAGCTACGGAAATGTCCCCCCTTTTTTTTGCGCAGTGTACATCTTTTTTAAATTGCCAGCAATAACTTTGCACATTAATTACTTCTTACCGGTGCGCATGAGTCTAAGCAAAAAGACACTGTAAGCTGAAATTTCACTGTGCTCTCAGATGCGAATTTGAAAGCCTGGAAAGGCGCCACCAACGATTTGGATTCTTCCGATTTCTTCAGAGCAGGAAAGATACTCGGCTCCACCGGGCACCTAGAAAATAAAATAAACGACAACTTAGTCAGTTAGAATCTATTAGATTGGGAACAATTAAATTAAATATCTTATTGTTATCATTAAAATGATTAATTGTCTATTAGGTGCTTTTAAATTATAAGAAATACAAACACCATTCCAGTGTTCATTCTTCTTCTAACAGTAGAAATCGTTTAAGTTATTCTTCTATTCTATAACTTCCTGAAACTATGCAAAATAAGCACGAAAATATAAAAAATATCTGAAGGAAAAATTTGTTTCGGATATGCCTTTTCGATACACTTGTATCTCTAACTGAAAGCTGTTTTTACCATACCGAGTAAATGAACATAATAATATGAAAGATATCCAGAATATTTTTATTTCTCAGTTATAAACTTCTGATCTGTGTATGCACTGTATACGGAACGAATTCTTAACTTTCTCAAATCTCGGACCCTTATGTAAAAATAAAAAAGAGGAAGAGTATTTATATAATATAAAATTTATTAGCTAAAGCAAAATCTAAAAATTTTGTTTAATTAAAAGACAGTTTGACAACTTTCTAAAAGCTTTTTAAAGAAACATGCGTATTTATTAACACAAATCGCATTTAAGAAATGAAATACGTCATTAAAACTATTTAATCGTGGGGTATTTTCTCGGTATAACTTGACGCAAAATATCTGAATAAAATTTTAAAAACTGGTTATTCCAAAGTTTTTAAGTTAAATTATTTAAGGTTTTTTGAATTTAGATTTCAAAACATTCGAATGATGAAAAATGTGAGAAAATTCGAATTTTTAAACACAATTTTCTTCAAGGGCTAGACGTCAAAATATACGAAAAGTACCTATTTAAAGGAAGAGGTTCTTTTAATACAAAATTTAAGAAAAAAAAAAAAAAGAGTTCTTAGCAACTTTGTGGTCCCAACTGAAGAAGTACTCACACAGAGAACCGAAGCTATTCCCGCAACGTACACGTGATACAGCGTTAGTGCATCCATTTCACTTCACTAATACATGCACGCCGCGCACACATAGCAATCACATCTAGTCTTGTGTCGGAGAGAAATGAAGGTACTGAACCAGCTCGTTTGTGGTTGTTTGCTGTATAAACTTGTTGAAATCGTCCAGCATGTCAAGCATTTGGAGAAAATGCCATGAATTAAAGTATCGCCACGTTTTGTTTTCAGAAGTTTGGATCACAAGATCTGAAACGTTGCCATGAATCCGCAATGGGTATCCTCAAGAGTTAAATGACGAGGCCCTGAAGGCTGCTATTTAAAAAGATAGGAGTCAAACGTGTAGAGAACTTGTCGAAGACTTCTAAGATTCGAAGGAAACAATCAAACTTTCCCTGCACCGCACAGGGAAGGATACGAGTTGAGTAAATGCGCTACTACTCACATTATCAGCAGCCAACAAGGAACAAGCTTCTTTTTCCCAGCCTCTCTCACTGCTTTCTAGAAACTGAAACAGACGTATTTGTTTTAGTGCTCCCAAATGACGAAACTTGAGAGTCCAGTATGAGACTCTCAAGCTTATTTGGCATTGGTTGCCACGACGTGACCCTGTACTTCAGGGTCTGTCTCAAGACTGCCTCTGCAGCCACGCAAGATCTTGTTTTGTATTTCGTAGACTAGTTGCCAAATGTTCAAGAGCTATGAGCACCATGCCACACCATTAATGAAGACCTGTACTCGCAGCAGTTGCAATGGGAGAAGTATTCATTTCAGTAGAAGAAACCATTGTTAGTTAATTCTAACTAAGCGCTGGTTAGTTACAATTATTTACAATTACAAATCAGCGTTGCTGTACGATAATGCCAAACCACACGTGGCAAACATACTAAAGAACCATTTAGGGGACAAGGATACCAAGGGATCATTTGACTAGGGACTTTTGACTTTGATTCAGTGACTTAACAAGTAGACACCGTGCCATCTCCCATACTCGTCTGACTTAGCTCCCACAGAACTCTCACTGACCTAGGTCCTACTACTACCTTTCCCGTTCTCTGGACAGCCACCTCCGTGGGAGACGCGCCCACACCCTCCAAGGCAGACATACGACACTTACTCACAGCCCTCTTGGTGTCCATGGCCCCCAAGATTTATTGCCAAGGCACTGCACAGCTTCAGTAACATTGGCTAAGGACGCTGACACTGGTGTTGTGTAGAGAATTTGTCTGATAGCGTTTTAAAAACTAGGTGAATGATTTTCTGATTTATGGAAATCTTAATTTTATTTGATTCTGAATTATTTATTTTAATGCTTTAATTTTGGGGAAAAACAGATGCTTCTGGGAATATTATTTAGTTTAAAAGAATATTATTTGTTTTCTTTTATTTGCAATTTTTGTACAAGCTTTGATTCATTGTGAAAAGAAGCAGGGAAAGGGAAGCAATTTTTGCTAAGTCATGATTTCGCGCGCTTTGTCCTTTAGAATGTTCTAGAAGGAATTTCATTGTGTAGTTGACCTTAAGACAGGAAGTACGTGACAGAAGGGTCAGAGGTTGCTACTTGACTTTCGATGTAAGTCATTCAGGTTTTGGGCGATTGAGGGTCCGGTTGTTGGCTAAGTGAAGAAGGGCGCGCATGCGCGATCACCCTTATTTCCGCATTCAGGAGTTGAAAACGCAAATTTTGCCAAAATTAAGGGGGCGATAATTGAAGCCATAGTGGGAGCCCGCGTTTGTGAAGGAGAGGAAGAAAATTCGAGTTTGAATCACTTTTTCGCGTGACATTTCGTGCGAGACTTGGCGAGACGTACTTGCTTGCTGAACTTACTTTTGCACGTTACTTTTTGCCCGACTTTGGAGTAGTTTTGTTGAAGGATTTAAGACTTTCAGGATTAAGACTTTTTGCCGGACTTCCAAGGCTGAAGGATTTGTTAAGTTTCTGTGGATGAATAGGTGGTGATTAAGGCGGATCGTGGCGGACACTATCCGGCCGTCGCCTTGCTGTCGAAAAAAAAAAAAATGATCCAGCGAGTATTAATTTCCAAAATTATTGGCCAAGTTCCACCCCGGCCAACGTGAGATTTTATACTCGACATCCTGACTGCGAGCTTGAAGATTCTGCTCGGGTGCTGGTTCGAGGGCTTGTTTTCTGCAAGGCTGTGCGACCTGCGGCCAGTGACACCGAAAAGCGTGAGACTCCTTAGACGCCTGTGTTCCCCTTACGGAATGAATTTTCCAGGAATTATGGTGGGACTTATAATCCCTTTGAATTTTCTCCCAGAATGCAAGGCCAGCCCAAGATTTCCTTTCCGGGTGCGTTTCAAGTCGTCAAAATCAACAGATAAGTGCTTTTTATCAATTTTCCTTAGAACTTTTGGAAATTAGGAACTTTACCTAAAATTGAATCTTAAATTCAATTCTACTGAAAATGAATTGCTTCCCTTTTTCCCCTTCTAAATTACCGAGACAAACCTTAAGGTTTTTTATATGAATTAGGATGTAATAATAATAGTTGTTTTTGTGTAATCTTCCTTAGAACAGATGTGAATTGCAAATAATATGTTTTCCTTAACCTCTTAGAAATTATAGATCGGGTACCCGTTAAATTAAAAGAGTCATGTAATAGATTTGCAAATCATGAATTTAAATGTAACAAAAGAAAATGACAAATTGATGTATTCCCTGTGTCTAAAATAAGAAATTGTAACTGTAACAAAATAAGAAGTTTGACTCTCGGATGAGGATAAGATTTAATTTTTAATTGTGAGGAATTTGAATAAACTGATATTTAATCTGGAAACCTATTACTTATGTGTTTCTTTATATTTGTTATGTGTTTTCTTATATATATATTGATTTTACATGTTGTTTATTCGATCCTCTCACGGCGCGGTCCCGGATGCATTTTCACAACGCAATGCATTAAAAATTCACTTATACGATCACTAAAAGTTTGGGTAATTAGCAAACTCTTTTAGTTTCTCAGTTGTATTTTTGGTTAGTTGCGGTTTCTGCATTAGTTTCCTCCCTAAGAGGAAGTAGTAACACTGCATTGGTGCCCATGATTTTTACGGCAAAGTATAGAAACAGAACATTGGTGTAGTAGCTATTTAACACTGGATGCTAATGGAAATTCACAGAGGCCTAACGCTGATACCATGAGCTTATATGTCTGTTTCTGACGCTCACGAACGGAAAGAATTTTTTGATTATGTCGAACTATGAATGTTCAGCGGTTTTACTGTTTGATTGTTTGGTGGACCAAATTCTTTTGGAGATTAGTGAGACTCGAAGATTCGAATATCCCCTTCCATACTTTATGCATGTCTGATTTTGTTGTTACAGTTTTCTCTATTATTATTTCATTTCTAGCTTGTTCTTCTAACTATTGTTACTTATGATACTTCTGTTTTCTGCCTGTTATAATATATGAGGATTCATTAAATTCATTTTAACTTTTGATGGTCTGATTATAACAGAATTATTAATATAATTATTACCGATATTGCTTGACACTTAAGTTTTGCATAGGTGCAGTTCTGCATTAAAAATGCGAACATTGCATAAAACACCTAAACATTCCAACAGAATGCCAGTTCGGCACTATAAGAAATTCTCTAATTTTTCTGACTTTTTTATATATAAACATTTTTTCACTGAACTTAGGACTTTTCTGCTTAAGATTTTAGACTAAAACTTCAGTAATGATGTTGCAATGTTACAGGCAATGTATAAAAGCCAGCATTCTATAGAATACAGTATTTTTTATAAAATGCCGAACATTCGCAAGCAATGTATGAAACAATTAACAGTTCATACATTTCCCAAGAATTCTATACAATGTCAGATAACAAACCAGCAAAGTATAAAATATATCTCCGATTAGTTTCGAGTATCCATACATTTAATACATTCATACAAAACCCATACATTCAAAATATTCATTCCACAATTCTATACATAGTATTATTTCATAAAAAAAAGCATAAATTTTGTTCTGTTCAACTTTAATCTTTATTTAAATATTTTGTACAAAATATTTTGTTATAAAATATTTAATGGCTCTCTTTCAATATTTTCCCAAAATCACATTTGTATTTTTGAGGAATGCACGTCTTTTAAACAATAGGATATCATAACTTTTTTCACACTTTGCCTAAATTGCATTTGTCATTCTATAGCAGCGCTTCTCAACTTTTTTCTTTCACATACCTTTTAATGACACTTAATTATTTCGTGTACTCATTAACAGCACAGACTGTAACTATAGAATACTCGTAACGTTTCACCTTTAGTACCTATGAACACCTGAACCTCCTTAAGTAATGTCTCAATATATCTCTACAGTGCTTTTATTTTAATACCGTAAAATTAAGAAAATAAATAAAGTCAGGAAAGTGTAAGTTGTTCTTTTTCAGAGTAATTATGAGGCTGCTTTAAAGGAAATTTTGATAACATCTGAAATCCTTCTCACTTCGTTTAGGCAAGTAATAATATTTGAACGATCCTTAGAGACACTTTAAGTAATTTCTTATGCTTTCTTTAACTTAGGTTTTGAAATTAAACTAATTTTCTGATAAGAATTGGCAGTTTTCGGAAATTTCGAGATAATATATTATCAGCGCATGCTTCCCAAAAATCTAAGTTTCTCACATACTGAGCACAGAATCGGTTTTTTAAATGCTTTGAGAATAGTTATGGAACTGTTCAATAATCCTAAGCTCTTTATTTATTTTTGAAAAAGAATCGGATATTTATGCAAATTCCTGAAACCATTCATGAATTTTCTAGCTCATTTGGAATGAGCGGTCTTTCAAAACTTGCTTGGCAGACGCCAAATCGGAACTATTTGGCAGAAGTAGTTTCTGTTAAGTGCAAAGACCAACTTCTTAATTATTTATCTATTTTAAGAAACTCAATAAATAAAGTCAACACTATACAATTCACAACTTTAACAGAATCACGAATTTAAAACAAAGCTCCATATTCGAACTGGTTTATATAACACAATTTAGATAAAGAGAGATAACATAACTGACTTGATTATTCACTAAATTCTGAAAACATAGTTGTTGTATACGATACGCTGTGACAGAAAAAGAGGAAAAGAGGAATAACGTTGCAAACACTATTTTATAGGTTATAAGATATTTCTCCCACTTCCTAGCGTGCCTTCGTGGTGTAACGGTAGCACGCTGGGCCGGTATTCCAGAGGTCCGTGGTTCGATTCCCGGCAAAGGCGGTTGCATATTTTTCATCTTTCCTGCTTCCAATTAACCTAATGACTCTACAAGGTTACCCTCAATTTCAAAGCGTATCTTCATAAGGATGCCTCTACCTTTTATCTCTGTGAATTTCCGATCTTAAGGAACGCCGGCTGTCCAGGAGGGTGCAAAAGAAACTTTATGAAGGAGATCTTTTACGAAGGCTTCCCATTAAAGCACCATGAAAATGAAAATTTGCATAGTTCGATGTTTTTTTTTTTTTTATTTATTTATTTATTGTTGTTAAATGCTGTCTGTATTACGACTTCTTAATTCCTAAATCTTTGTACAAATGATTGTACATGATATAGATAATGAAAACAGGAAACATTGACCAACTCCCTATCGTATCTGGAGATGGCAGTCACAGTTTTTCATCTGTTTTGGCAAGAAAATTTTTTTGTTTTGTTTGGAAGAAATGACAAGACTAACTTAAGATTGTTAAGATGAAGAAGATAAGAGCTTTTATCTTTAACTAACTGCTACATTGGAATATAACTTAAGGACTGCTAAAATGGAGAAGAGTGGAATAGGACAGCCAAAATGAAAGAGCAATCCATAATTTAAAGTTGGGATATGGCTTTTTTTTCTAGTTTACACTAAAAAACAACAAATTAACTACTAAAACAGAATAACAGGCTCTTAAAATGACTTTTAAATAACCAGCTTTGTTGAGACTAATAAATGTATAGTAATGATAATGAAAATAAAGAAATCATTAACTTACCCTCGATCGTCTATTAGCATGACAGTTTCTGTTCCTTTTCCACTTCTGGCAAACAATCCACTCCCAAAGATTCCAAAAACAGCTGAAAAATTAAATATAATTTTTAACTCCGTAAGAAAGAAAAATTATATTTTAAACTCAAGTCATTAAAATTGCATTTCAGTAAGCTTTAAATGTTAAGCTACAAATGGTCATTCATTTATTCATTCACATAATTAAGAATATTCTATAGTAAGGTAAGTATAGTAAGGGTGGCGCTAAAAACATCTTTTATTAATAAACAACTGTGTTGTAAATGTCCATAAAACTTATCTATGCCGTAAATTAAGTATAGATTCAATTATATCAATTAAACTGATTATTACAAAAACGTACAATAAAAATTTATACTTTTAGAGGCGCGATTAGTGAATTTCAATGTCCCAGACTGCGATGTAGCTACAGATTGCAACAGTACATTTGCCAATTCGGTAGGATATTAAATGCATGGTAACGTAACTTAAAGATCCAAAGATTTTTCAAAAGATATATTTAATATCGACACGTTCTTAATCTATTTTTAATATATTCAGTATCTGAAAACAAGTTTAATTTAAATTGTGCTTTGTAACGGCAGAGAGCAAACACTAACATACCGAGTATGCGAATTTGAACATCAATAATGTGACAAAAATGGAATTTTAAAAATGTTTCATTGCAGCCCAGTGCCATTTTATTAAAAATTTACAGTTTTATTGAAATGAATAAAACATACTTTTAAGGACATATATTATGTACCTTAGCAAATTTGACGTAAGAAACATTTCTATCAAAACCTATCCAAAAGTTTTCAGCGTTATGTTACGCTACTACGTATTAATCATTCCAGCGTTCTAGCGAATATTACAACCGCGCGAAATCTAATATCATTTTAACATCATTTATTTTTGAAGCGCTAATACAGCTTTTTTGAAATTTATATTAAAATTTTTAAAGCTTTAAACAGCTTTGGAAATAAAAACTAAGGTATCAGTTATTAATCATTGCATTTATATATAGCACACAAAGTTGCATAATATCTCGTTTAATTATATCAGCTTTAAAAAAGCTTTAAAAATAAAAACTTAGCTTTAAAATATTAATAATTGCATTCATAGTTTTCAGTTTGTTTAACTGTTAAATTTGATATTAATTAAAGATGAATTAAGGATCTTATATCGACTAGCAACATTTTGGTTAATAACTACTTGGAAGTTTCCCTAGAAAATATATCAATTAATTCATTATAATGAAGGGACAAATACCACAAGAAGATTTATTTTCTATTATTATTAGATTTCGAAAGCACAATTATACACTGGGAGATAATGTTCAGAAGATGTGTAAACAAATACTTACTAAACCATCTCAAAGAAACCTGATCTTGATATTATTGAAAGAATCGATTGGTAGACCTATGCAGACTTATCGTCTGAAGACTGTAAGATACGGAAGAGCAAATGCACCGTTCTTCGCCATATAGGTCCTGAAGCAGTTAATAATGGATGAAGCGACTGAATTACCTTGTGACTAAAAAGCCACACTGAAGAACCGTTATGTGGATGACATCATCACTAGAGTTAATCCACTGTAAGGCGTCAGAAAGTTTCAGACACAGTTTGTAGAGTTTACCTTATTTTGCAGAACAAATTTATTTTAAGTTTGATTTCTCGGCAGGATGTAAATTTTAAGGTTAAGTAAAGTGTGTATTTAAACGGGTGTATTTCTGAGCTTATTCAGAGCGTGTTTTCGCTAGCCAGCACACGTTTCCGTTGTTGTTTTGCTGTTACGCTAGTCAGCCTCTTGGCCGTTCAGATTATCACCACGCCTGTTAGGTTTTTGTGACTCAACCTGTTAGTTGTGAACCTTAACTTATGTGCTATCCAGCACTACTTATTTTAGATTTTTGACCTCAGTTATATTCTTCGTTTTTAGTTTCACTGCAAGTTGACGGTGCCATTGTAATGCACGAAGATCGTGCCTTTCTGTTAACTATTTGAATTAGTAAAGGGTTACTTTGACCCTTCTTCTGTACTGGTATTTATTCACACCTGTGCGATAATTCGCCAGGTTCATTGTAGGATCTAATTTAGTTTATGTGGAAAAAGAGAGAATGACCCTCTAAGCTGTCTTAATGTAGTGGAATTAAGTTGCGCAAATGGTGTTCAATAATACTGAACTGTTGAAGAATACATAAAGTGCACTTCGGGATTATTCTTTTCGAGTTACTGATGAACGTCAGGTTACAAAGAAGGACGTGGAAATATCACGTATTACGGCTACAGATAATTTCTCGTGAGATTAGTTGTCATTGAAGAGACAGTAACGAAAAGAGTTATCTAATCAGCAACAGGTCACCTCTTTGACCCATTATTTTTAAATGGGCTTGTACAAATATTTTATCAAAGGCTAAAATATTTGTACAAAATCTTTGGCTCCTAAAATAAATTGGAACAACCTCTTCCTATGGAAGAGACTTCTGCATAGTCTTAGAATATTTGACTTTTCCTAACCACTGTTGTACAATAAACAGAAAAAAAAATAATTCTTTTGAGATGCTAATCAGAAGGCTCATGGTGCTGCAGTTTTTGTGAAATGTATACCTTCGAATGGATGTTTATCAAGGCTTCTCTGCAGCAAGTCTCGTATTTTATTATTGAAGTCAATCACCATACCTCTTTTGGAGCTTTGCGGTGCAGTTCTGTTGGTAAAACTAATGAAAAGAATGCTAGAGGTCATTCAACTACCCATAAGATAAAGAATATTACTTAACTGTTTCCTCAGTGGTGTTAGCATGGATTAAAGAGAAACCTCATCAACTAAAGACATTTCTTGCTAATAGAGTGCATGTTCTTTGCAGTATGAATGCTATTCTACAGTGGTATCATAATGGCTATGATATCACTGCTTGTATGACTGCTATTCATCGTAGCACTCAGAATAATCAAATCCAGCTGATTTGATATCACGTGGAGCGGAATTTAAGGATCTTCTTCGTAATGATTTATGGTAGCATATAATGAATGAAGAACTGAATTTATAACTGATTCTTAAGAAAAACTCAAGCCTTGCAAAATAATTTCTAATATGGCCATTGTGGAATACGTTAAGGACTCACATTTAAGGACAATGAGTTAATCTAAATGGTGAACTCTTATTCTCTTGTTTTAGATTATGTTTTTAATAATAATAATAAATATTATCGCAATATACGTATATTAAGTTTTTCTTGCATATTTATAGCCAGTTGTAAAGGAAAAATTTTATTAGGTCTTCTAGCTGTTAAAAAATTGAATGACGCTTGAAATGTTCTCATAAGATATGTACAATCACAACATTTTGACAAGCATATTCTTTGCTTGAAAAAGAAGAATCATGTTTCTCCTAGAAACAAGCTAAAATTTTTATGTCCCCTTTTTTTTTTTTTTTTTTTTTTTTGAAAAGATTCTTTTTTCAGATTAAGAGGCGGGCGAATTTACATATGGTAACTTAAATCACAATAAAAATTCTCTTATGTCATGCCAAAAGATTCAGGTTTTGTTGCATCAGGCTAAAAGTAAATTTTAGGTTATTAATAATCGATATTTAGCCCGAAAGGTTGTACATGAATTTATAACTGGTTTTAAGACTAAACCAGTTGTATGAATAACTTATGCGGAATTTATCTGGTGAAAGAGTTAACCTGGGGTTTATTTTAATGCTTGTGGACTTGATTTTTCTGGTTCATTCCTTATTAAATATAAGAATCAGAGAGAGGATAATTATGCAAAAGTGTATGATCTATATTCATACGTGTAGCTACTGAAGCAATACATTTAGAGCTAGTAACTGATGTAACCACAGACGCCTTATTTGCTACTGTTAAAATATTTATTGCTAGTCGCGGGAACTATCATTCCGTAATTCCAGCTAAAGATACTAATATGGTTTATACGAAATCAAGAATTGAAAAAAAAATATGCATCACTTAGTCTTTAAAATCTAATTCTGATATTGCAATTTTTTTAACGTCTGAATGTGTAAATTGGAAACTGGTTCCAATTAAACCATCAAATTTTGGTGGCTCACGGAAAGCAAGCATTTAAATACGATATTCAGAGTAAAAAGCAGCAATTATAAATTAACTTCAGAAGCATTTTGGATTGTTGTCACATAGATTAATTGCACTCTCAATTCTCGTCAAATTTTAACGTTAATCAGCAGGTGCGAATGATCTTGAGACCTCAATGCTGGGTCATTTTTTAATTGGACGTTTTATTACTTCATATCCTGAACCTGATTTGTCTCATCTTACGAATAGCAGACTTTCTAAATGGCAGATACTATTATTAAATTACTACTAAGTTATAGTTAAACTGGTTATTTAAACCATCTTCTACAGTGCAGTAAATAAAATTTTAAGGAAGGTATGTTAGTTGTGTTTAAGAAAGAGAATTTTCTTCCTTTTAAATGATTATCAGCTAAAATTGTTGAAGCTTTACCTGGTAAAAATAATAAAACCAGAGTTGTTAAAGTGTAAACATCAAATGGGGTATCTCTATATTCGATGTATTTATAAAACGTGTTTACTGCCTATCAAGGCTAACAATGCATAAGGTTACATTATTGTGTTTTTATCCAAAATTGTGCTTTATATTGAAAATGGGTCTGTTTTAAAAGATCAAGTAAGACTGTAAGGGGTGAATTAGTTTATGTTCTTTATAATGTTAATATTATTTTATACTGTATTTCACGATGGAAGATTACCTATTAGATTTTTGTATTTAGATCGTAGAATTAGTTATTCTTAAAACTGTTAAATTGTAAGTTTATAAATTATATATTGAAATTTAGAATTTCAGTGGACGGTGACATGTTAAGTTAGCATACAGCGCTACATATTGTAAACATAAGAAACACTCATTTAGCCAGTGTTTTCGGTTAAGACAATATGCCAGAGCATGCCAGTAGTATATTATTAGTAATTAGCGTTAAGAAAATTATTTTACTTTTCTTAGTACATTTCGATCATTTAGTTTAACATAGTAGACAATATACAGTGTTAAAAAAATACGAATACTGAAC